CCCTGCCCATGGCAGGGGGTGGGACTGGATGGGCTTTAAGGTCCTTCCAGCCCAAACCAGTCTGGGATTCTATTTATCAGAAGACCTGTAATTGGTACATGCAAATGAAACCAGATTCCTACAGCGAAACATTTCTGAATTTTGCCACTGGCCAGAACCCAGTTCAGAGGTTGGTTAATCATTGTCCCACTATTCCAACTCTGCACAGTCTCAAACCATTTCCATTTGTGACTCTGCAATGTAAGAAAAGCCCACTAACAGTCCAGAGATTTATTTAATGAATGGACTAAATAGTTTCCTATGCTTGGCAGAAGTTATTTATTACTAGCAGTTAGTGCTATTAGTTAGTAGTAGTTATTTGTGGGTATTGAGAAGGAATCAGCACCATTAAATCAGCCTTCCAACCAATGCCCTGACAATTTCTAGTGCATTTGGTGGGTCATTTTTGAAGTTCAACACGTTTTTTTCTCTCCTCACCCTCCCAAATGCTCTGTCACTGTAAATACCATTTAGCACATGCTGTTCTGTGCTGTTCTCTCCTACACTCAGCTTCTCACAGGGTCAGACTCGGGGAGGGGGGGAAGGAAGGAATGGTTTTCCCTCATTAGCTCAAGTTGATCCCTGCTAATCTGAGAACAAATCCAAGTTTTTAGCTCCCCACAGCCCATACAGGACATTATTTTCTGTGCTGCAGAATTAGGACACCACCTTCTCGTGGCTCTCTGTGCTTCATTAATGCAGGGAGCTGAAATATGCAGCACTGGGAACCTCGACCGACCCCAAAGTCTGTTCTGAAGCAATTCCAGTGGATGCAGAAATTCCTGCTCAGAGTGACAACAGCATTTTATTTGATAGGGAGTAAGTGGCATCATCCAAATATCTGCATGGGCATCTGGACTCTTGGAGATTGTTTATTTAATGAAGAACAGGATTAACTCTCCACTTAGATAATCCCAGTTATTTGGGATTATGTCCATAAGAACATTCTCCTGCCTCCTCCCCCTTCAAACACATTATCCCACCCTCTCTCCCAGGACCAGGAGTGTCAGTGCAGACAGAATGGTTTCTCCCTAAAGCAAGACAAAAGGACATGAGTCAGGAGTGCTGAAAGACCAGCTTTCCTTCCAGGTGTCCTGCTTCATCCACGTCCTGCAGAGTATTCAGATGGGATATTGGGAAGGAATTCTTGGCTCTGAGGGTGGGGAGGCCCTGGCACAGGTTTCCCAGAGCAGCTGTGGCCCATCCCTGGAAGTGTCCAAGGGCAGATTGGAGCAACCTGCTCTAGGGGAAGGTGTCCCAGGCCACAGCAGAGGGTGGGGCTGGATGAGCTTTAAGGTCCCCTCCAACCCAAACTGTTGTGTGACTCTCACTCACAGCCATGACAAAGCCACCCCAGGCAGGGTTTAACATGCCTGCATTCCCAGAGTCCAGTCATGTCATTCCTGAGTGTTTTCCCTTCCTGATGTGCTCAGTTTACAAGCAAGAAAACCCCTCCCTTTCCTTGCTCAACAGCCAGTTCAGCAAGTTCAACTTCAGATGTGAATCGAGCCAACTTTTCCTGGGCAAAACCACCTCCAGAAGCTCTGCAGGTCAAACCCAGCCTGTCCCACATCCATGCTAATTCACTCCTTGGACTGCACAAAATTTCATCTAACCAGGATTCAACAAATGTAACACTGGGAATCCAAACAGGGAGATAATGGCATTCCCTCAAAATCTGGAAGTTTTGGAAAACAAAGTGGGGAGATAAAAACTGGAGCCACCTTATTGGACCAGCTCCAACACACTGTGCAGAACAGGTTATTAATTAATGAAGTATAAGTTTGGCCTCAATTCTATTCCACTGCCCTTAAATATATCCTTTACTAACCATCTGCTTTACAAGTCATACCTCAAAAAGTTGCTTCCTCCACCCTGGGGATATATTTGATGATGGCACTTTATCCCCATTATTCACTTCCAAGGCTGTGATAAGACAAACTAATCCAGTTATTGCAGCAACCCGAGAAAGACATCATGGTCAGTGAGAAGAAATATTTGGTTTACTCACCTGTCTTGATAAGCAGGTAAAGTTATTCCAGTTTCTTTGGCTGTGAGAGGAGTCCTGGGCCCCTTTTGACACTTTGCACAGTCAACTCCATATAAACAGAAATATGAATAATCTTTATAAATCTCTGAAGGAAAGAGAAAGCTGGACAGGGAAAGCACAGTGGGGAAAACGAGAGGTGGCAGCAATTTAAACCTGATAATTCAGTGAATCAAAATGTGAGTATCAACACTTCAATCCTCTGTGTTATGGTTCTGCAAATGCTTATGGTGATGTTTAGATTCAAGTAAAAGTAAATAAAGACATCACTAGATATTAACCAAGCTTTAAAAAAGAAACAGGGTCAGAAGGTGATTGCTGGGCTCACAAGGACACCTCTGGTGTGGGTTATGAACTGCTGGGGTTGGGATTCAAAGGACACATGGAAATGGTGTCTAGTTGAGCCAGGGGAGGTTTAGATTGGAGATTAGGAAGGTTTGTTCTCCACAAAGGGTTGTCAAGCCCTGGCACAGCTGCCCAGGGCAGGGGTGGAGTCACCATCCCTGGAAGTGCTCAGACAATGTGTGGATGTGGCACTTGGGGACAGGGGTTAGTGGTGAACATGGTGCTGAGGTGATGGTTGGACTTGATGATTCCCAAGGTCTTTTCCAGCCTTTTCCAACTGATTCCATGATTCTCCATAACCAACCTGCCCATGAGATGGGACACCCTGGCAGCCTCTCACTCCATGAGGACACAGGAGGGAACTCTGCACTAAGAATTAACAGTTTTCCCCAAGTTTCCCTCTGTATTTCCCCCTGCCAGGCCCCAAATATCAGGATCCAAATCTCAGAGTGGAGCCCCCTGAGCAAACCCCCCCTGAGCATCTCTGCTGGGATAACTGGGAGGGGCAGAGCACAAAGCTCCAGGTAAGGGCTTGAGGCAGACTAGAGGAACCTCTTCTTTGTGAGAAACATTTAATTCAACACCATGACTTACAAGAGGACAGGTTTACAGAGTAATAACCGTAACAGACTGTTCAGAAAGGAAAATAATGGTCACTGCCTGCAGTGCCAGGCACAGCTCCCCAGAGCAGCACCTGGCAGAGCAGCAGCAAAGCACAGCTCAGTCTCCTTGCAGCACTCAAGTGAGCAACATCACAGGGTTTTGTATTTTCAAACCCCCAAGGAAAGGGTGAACACAGGATCAATCCCTCTGGCAGGGGATATTTTCCAGGGATCACGAAGCTGAACTACTCCCAAAGGCAACTCCCTTGTGCCCTGCTGTCCCTGCTCATCATCCTCACACAATAAAGGCTCTGGGAGCTACTTTCTTCCCCAAGTTTTGGGATACCACCAACTTGTACAATTGCTCAGTGGCACAGTATTTAATCCACCACTTTCTACTGTTCTCTCAGCATGAATTGTGCAATGGATACCCTAAGACTAAAATAACTTTTGCAACCCAGTCAACGCATTCTCCAGGCTATAAACTCTCATCTTCCTCCCCTCTCCTTGTCTCCCTCCCCAGAGAAATCCATTTTTAGCCACAAGTTACCCCAATATGCTCACAGGTGTACTGGAAGAGACTGAGGAATCAATCAAGGTACCCATGGTGAAGCCAAATACTTATAAACACATTAAGGCAGGTTTCACATCAGTTCAACTTTCGACACAAAATGCTGGTCACTTCACTGCACATGCAAATAAGAAAAGATTTAAACACTTAATAAAAACCTTTAAATTCCTTTTTAGATATCAATTATAGAAAAATCAACCTTTTTCCTTTTTTTTTTTTTTTTTTTTTTTAAAGAGGTCAGAACATTACTGCACACGAAAGCAGGTGTGTGGCCACACCTGTTGGAATGGATCCCCTTCCCTCCACACAGAGGAACAGAGGGCAGGTTCTTGGCACCAGAAGAGAAAAAGGAGGAAGTTTTCCTCATTGTCAGTCAGAAATGAGTCATCCTTCCATCCCCAGTTGAGAAAAAAAAAAGTCCTTCTGACTGGACTTGAACCAAACCAAAATACACCTCAGGCTGGGTATATTTCTCTCCAAAACTCTATTCAGAGTGTTTGGACACCCAGAGTCCAAACCCTGCTCGGGAGTGCTCTCAGTGTGGTGTGGAACTAACCCCAAAGCCCAACTACCAGAGCTGGCAGCCCAAGTAACTTCCCCTACTCCCCAAACCTCAGCTGGGACCAGGCACTGGCAGTTCAGCTCTGAGACTGCACTTCCAAGACCAATGTGGTCTCGTGAGGAAACGGCGACTCAGTGACTGGAATTCACATATGGAATGACAATCCACGACATGAAATGACCTCCCTACAGCCAGGTACAAACAGGTAGCCCACAGCAGAGTAGCCAAGGAGTGAAACAGCATCTCTCTCTCTCTCTCCTGGGTTAGAGAGAAAATTGTTTCCGTGGGTCATTAAAGGTATTTTGATAAAAAAAGCTTAAAAATGTAATCACCTCGCACTGACCCACAAAACATAATAATAAAAAAAAAAAAGAGACAGCAAATTTGGTTCCTATTATTTCCCCTCCCTTTATCCCCTCCCACTTTTGCATTCCCAATCACCCCAGCCCTTCAGAAAAAGGAGGGGGAGTGGAGTTTAGTCAAGTTCCACCTGCAAAACTCCCCAGCAGTGAATGAACCATCAGCTCCCGAGTTTCCTGAAGTACATCCAAATGCTCCGGGGTACAGTTGGACTGGTGGTGCACTCCTGGCTCTGTAAATGGTTGTGCTGACCCTGCTGATTGGCTTTATACTGGGAATTCTTAGATGGAACTCCCTGGAAGAGACAAAAAAGACCCTGTAAGTCAATAAGAACTTTTTGTATCTTTACAGGCAAGTGAGTTCTAAAAAGAAGAATTCCCACGGCCATAACATATCCATGTCTTTATCTCCTGGGTTTCACCTGCAGCAGACAGTTTGTTCTGGTTCTTGCCTGTTGCCAGACCTTTGTAGCAGAAAAGAACTCAAGGCATTCATTGTCCAAAAACTAGTGCTAGTGATGTGGGAAAATGGGAAGAAAGCCCAGATATAAGATGGGATCTCCCAAAGGCCAAGCAGATTTCACATTGTAATCAGTCTTCCAACTTGAAGGATTGCTTAACATAAAAATCACCCTTCTACCTGAAGTCCAGGTGTCATTCTCTCCAAAGAGGCTTTTCTTCTGTTATTCATCCTAAATATTCCATTTTTTTCCCCCTCCATATTCTTGATTCTTGCCTCAAAGGCTCCAGAGGAGGCCACTAAATTGATCCCAGGGCTGGAGCCCCTCTGCTTTGGAGACAGGCTGGGAGAGCTGGGATCGTGCCCCCTGAGCCTCCTTTTCTCCAGGCTGAGCCCTCCCAGCTCCCTTGGACACTCCTCATCAGACTGTGCCCCAGACCCTTCCCCAACCCCATCCAGCCTGGCCTTGGACACTCCCAGGGATCCAGGGGCAGCCACAGCTGCTCTGGGAAACCTGGGACAGGCCCTCACCATCCTCAACAATTCCTTCCCAATATCCCATCTATCCCTGCCCTCTGGCACTGAGAAGCCATTCCCCCTTGTCCTGTCCCTCCATCCCTTGTCCCCAGTCCCCCTCCAGCTCTCCTGGAGCCCCTTTAGGC